AAGACGAAATTTGCAGTATAAAATGATATCATTCTATTTCACAGGTTCTCATCAGCTGCAGACTACCTGAAATTACAATGGTTATATAAATGATATTAACATACTTTAATGTTTGATTAGTAGTAGAGAAGAGATAAAATTGACGCATCCAAAAAAGAATGAAAGCATTACAATTTTTAGTTTAAGTTATCATCATCAATTTATACACTTTCAGAGTTGTTAATCAATTTTTCTGTTTTCTGTCTTACCCCTCCCCCCTCTTTTCAACTCTGAAAGTGTATAAATTGATGATGATAACTTAAACTAAAAATTGTAATGCTTTCATTCTTTTTTGGATGCGTCAATTTTATCTCTTCTCTACTACTAATCAAACATTAAAGTATGTTAATATCATTTATATAACCATTGTAATTTCAGGTAGTCTGCAGCTGATGAGAACCTGTGAAATAGAATGATATCATTTTATACTGCAAATTTCGTCTTCCTTTCTTTATCGAAACAGTAAAGTATTTCTAACTTGAAGATACTTGGTTGGTGGTGACTTGCAGTGGAATGCAAGACGTGTGTTCCTCCCTATTTGGGGGCCTGTTATATGGATGTACCAGCATCCCTGTGGGTGATAGTGTTGCTTGGGCCTGTCAGCTAGGTTGCCTTACTAACTGTCCATATATCTCAAAGTAACTATAGCAGAAGTTATTTCGAAGACTTGACTAACAGTTATACCATTCTCATAGCTCACTGATATGACTGTGGATGGTTTTCAATAGTCTTGGTATACACACTGAATCTACTCAGGATGCCAGATTGGTTGGAAGGGTTATCGATTTTGATTTAATTGGGTGGGGTGTTGCTGTGCATGCTAATCTTATCTACAATAGTGTATTTGGCTAGTTCTGTATGCGAGATGAGTCATATTGGGCTTGTTCACGAAGTGCATAACTGATCGATGAGATGATTGAAGTGAGTAAGTAGGCTTACCTATACATACTAGCTTCGGTGGTTCACTGATAGAATGCTCACCAACCACGCATGTAGAGTCTGGGCTCGATTCCAGGCCGACACACTCCCACACCTCGCTTAACCGTCAGTAGGGCTTACTTCTGGGCTAGCAGTAAAAAGAGGTTGAGTGTGAAACCAGCAACCCTACCCCCGTATAAACAACACAACTGCTACTGAACCTTTAAGACTCAAGTTTGAGGATCTATGTGCTACACGGAACGCAAACGAATGAGAAAAAACAGTATTCGGCGGCAAATATGGAAAGAGAAAATATATTCATGAAGTTAAATTACTGCACTCAAAAGAATACGCCAGCTAAGCTCCACTGGAAGTAATCCTAAGATGATTACCACCTTCTAGACGTTATATTTTAGTTATCTTAATAAAGTTTATGACAATATTCATGTTTTTACTAGATAAATAACTGGAGGACTTACTACAGTGAAGCTTGTTGGTCATCATTACATAGATTTGAGTCCCATTACTTTCCAAAACAACTTCCTACTGTTGATATGTCGATGACACATTTGTAGTGTGCAACAATAAAAGTCATACCTCACACTTAGATTATTCAATGACGCGCATGCCAATATTGAGTTTACTATGGAACATGGAACACCCAGAAGACGGTAGTCTTCAGAAGTCAATTTATCGAAAGCCTACTTGGAAAGGACAATACTTACATTTTAATAGTTTTTGTCCAAATAGCTTTAAACGCGGACTAGTCAAGACTCTGTACTATAGCGTGAGGAGAATATGCTCTATAGAGAAATTAGAGGAAGAATTTGTGTTTCTTGAAAAGATGTTGAAGAGCAATGGTTACTCTCAAAGGTCCATCAACAAGTATGAATGATCTGAAGTCACAAATGCAAAACAAATCACAGTAAGAAAAAAGCCAATATACATTCAGCTTGATTATAAGGGTGGAAACATTGCAGCGATGATCAGCAGAAGGCTGAGCACATCACTAGCCATAGCCTATCCTGCAGCTAAGCTCATCCCCGTCTATCGAACAACTTGCTCTCTGGTGGAATCAAGAATCGATAGATATCCTTCTCATGTTAACTCCAATTGTATATACAAATTTACATGTATCTGCGGGAGCAGTTACATTGGAAGGACAGAAAGAAGGGCATATCTACGATTTTCTGAACATGTACCAAAAAGCTTATGTTTAAAGGGAACAAATGCTCTAAGCAGTGCCATCGCCAGGCATCTCCTTGACACGTGTAATGAGGTGGACGTCGCAAAATCGTTCACAATTATTATTAGGCAAAAGAGCTCAATTCTCCTCAAGTTTGCTGAAGCCATTTCCATCAAGCGCCCGAAACCTGATTTGCGCGTTCAGAAAGAAACAGTTATCAGTCTTTCTTTGCACTGGTAACTGGATATTTTCATCTCTCTTTCATCTGAATACGCAATGCCGAAAGTTTCCATTGTGCATGATCATTATTGTTCGGAATAGTGTTTAATATTATATATATATATATATATATATATATATATATATATATATATATATATATATATATATATAACGTATGCATATATTGGTTGATTGATTTTTGTTTAAAATGACCTCTGTGCAAGTAAGTTAAAATTGTTTTTTAGATATATTTAATGATGACTTTGGCCTGTAAGCAGCTGATGAGAAGGCAACGAAATAAAAGATGGTACCACTTTATTCTGTTAAAACTGTAGTTCTTGCTTTATTCAAATCCAATGCAGTTATTTAACTAGGTATTCCAATTAATTAGTATGGTGTGCATTAAACTGGGATGTAAAACGTATACATAGCTGTGCGTCGGTGGCACAGTGGTTAGGACTCTCGCCGACCATGCACATGGTCCGGAGTTCGATCCCCTGCCGGCGCACACCCGATATCTGTGGTCGGCCTGAAATTCGGGCTACCGATATCCATGCTGAAAATTCCATACTTGTACTGAAAATACGGTGTGGAATCAAGCTGTAATCAAAATAAAAATAAAATAAAAGAAGAGACTTCATTGACGAAAACAAGGCATGGGTTAACTGAGTGGAACTATGCTGAACTCAGCAGCAATGGGCAATGCCTACTGTCTACTTAAACCTCTTTTGTTAAAGTGACACCTGAACCCATGACCAATCGATAGAGTTCCTAGAAAGATAAGCCAATTCGCGGAATAAACGAGTGATAAAAAGCGGAATTCTGACAAAGATGTGCCAGAGTTTCTGAATATTATCAATACTTAGATGTTGTCGCAAACAGCCAAGAACAAAATTTAAAAACTACATAGACTGGAGTGAAATCCTGTAGCAAAAACCACTCAGTTTACTTGTAAGCTGGAAGTACATCAGTTAACGCAGGACGCCTTGGTAGATTATATCTCGGCCTAGCTAACACTTACAAACCCTCAATCAACTGCTGATAGGTTTCCAAAACTGCATAAAATGACTTATTTTACTTGAGTAAAAATATACATCGAATATGACAGTTCCAACACACTGCATCAATTACAAGAAAGCTCAGGTAACCGAAAACACAAGAGATCATAATTCTCACCTTCTGAGGCCTCTTTAATATAAGTACTAACTGTAAACAGAACATCATGACCGACTTTGTTAAGTAGTCACATACTTAAGTGGTTTTGTAGATGAAGAATGACAGTAAATGTAACACCCGAAGACACTCAACTAGTAACACCTGCCATATAGTAGGCAACAAGCTCATGGCAAGCTTTCTGTGATTCTTGCTTGAGGTGCTTAAAGTCTTACATCACTGAAAATATATGGAGTATACTAGGTGTTTTGAACTTTAGAAACGAAACAAACTCACAAGACAGACAGTAGATAGAGTCGCATACATCACAACAGAATGAAGATAAGCGAGGACAGCCGTAAAACTTTCTCATGGGTTTCATATCATGGTTCACTATTCACATTTTACTGATTTGCATGACCTCGAGTTAATAATATTTTGCTATGAAAAATGCCCCTACCTGAACTTCTTTTACAGCCATAACCCCCCCCCCCCATATTCGATCAGCAGTCAGACGGTGTATTCAATCAATATGTGTACGATAAGTGTTAAATTTCCTAACAATTCGATGTAGATGGGTGTTCAGTGCATCTTCGCCTCAAAAGGCAAATTTCATAAAACGATCTCATCCGCTACCACAGCTTTACCACCTAGTTTGTTAGAACATACCAATAACCATTATTAAGTTCCAACCTCTTAGTCTCAGTTGTAGTTTGAAAAAAATTTCACATCTGTAATAAAAGTTCTCGAAAGGCTGCCTCAGATAGGCGATTTACTTACTTTACTTTACTTCGGCTATCTCCTACGTAAGGATGATCCGGCTTCATGAACAACTCGAATCATCGCTGCCCAGGCGCGGCGATCTGATGAAGAGAGTTCATGAAGTTTCATGGAAATTTGGTACGAGTGATGTCCCCAGAATCGCTCGGCCTTTTGTTTGAGAGTGCAGCTCTAGCCTTTACACAACCAAGTGTGACCTACAAGGCAGTAGGAGTGGAGTAGGGAGTCCACTATACATTGGCAGCCGGTGACCGGAGTTCGGTCCATACGCCTTTTTGAATGGGGCCAGACATCCAGGACATCCAACAAGCCCTTTGTCCATACGTCTGCCGGTGAGCTCCAGTGAGCTTCATACGCCAGTCGTTGGAGGTTTGGAATCAGGGTTTAGCCATCTCCCCTAGACTGTCATCCAATGGACAGTTAACCCGGAGAAGAGCGCCGGGCATCCGCTTTCGCCCTCTCACTTTGGTGAAAAACACCTCCGCCACGTGAAGGCAGTGAGTAGGACTTCCTCAGGAGAGGCTATGTAAGACGCGCGGTCATATGGGAGCATTTCAAGAGGTGTGCGGAGGGGTGGCCAACCCGCAGCGCAAGGCACCCACCCCCGACCATCCTGAGGCTTTGGAGATAGGCGATGGACAAATAAGGTGCAAGTGAAGATCACTAAGACGATTGTGGTTATAATCTTTCATCTGAACTCAAGAATAGAAATGTAAATGTCGACTTTAGATACAAAACTAATCTATTTCATATACTTTCAAGTAAAAAAGAGAATGAAAATTGTTCAAAGATAGTTTTATTTAATAGTCTAGATAAACTTCAGTGTGCTTTTTAAGCATATAAATAAAATAAATAAAATTTTTTTACCTGTCGTAGTATAACGCACTGCGTTAATTTATTGTAAAGAAAAGCTAGTGGAAAGAGAGCAACACAGCACAGGAATACCAAAGAAAAGTTGTGTTGAATACAAAATATTAATTAGAGATCAACTAAGTCTCCTGTAAAATCATTAACTTTAATAATGAAATGCATCATTCATTTTTCCGCAAATACATTTATAAATAAACAATCAAGGTATTTTTCACTACAGAGAATCAGATCATTCAAAAAAATGAACCGAAAAAACGAAATGGGAGAAAAGAGAGATCACAAGACTTATAACAGCAAAAGTATACAGGTTACAGTACATTGTTCGTCATTCAGTATGAAAAAATTGTAAATATACAGAACATGATAGGCAAATTTAACAAATTAGCATTAGTAATAATTACACTAATATGCATATATCAACAGCAGTTGTTTATTGTGATAGATAGAGAAACCTGAAACAGGTAAGAGTTGCACAATGCTTCAGAATATCGGTTGAACTTGACAGTGGAAAGATGTTATTCGAGGAAGTACTTACAAATTATATGCACAGGTCGATTGAAATAAAATGGTAACGGTAGAACTTAAAAACTTCCGCTTGATTATATCTTTTAATCGAACGCGATTTAATAACATTTGAAATACTATACTACTTATGTATGCATCTGTACATATTGACTAGTTTGGTGAAATATATTCAGCTCAAGCATTATTACATTAATCAAAACATAATGAAACTTAAAATTTAGAAAAGGAAACAAGATGTACAATATACATAATTGGTAGTTTTAAATTACTTTCCATTTACACAAACATGTCCGCCCCCCATTACAGAAACAGCTACACTAAGTCCTGCTTGGTTATTATGAATAGGATTTCGTGGTCTGGTGTTCGATGGAATTGGGTTAGCATGTGAAGCATGCGAACGATGAGATGAATGAGCTGGAAAATGATGCGTAGCCGCTGGAGAGTGTGAAGTGTTTGAAGTTAAACCACCATGCTGTGAGAACTGAACTGCTGCAGGTGGCTTGGTCTGGGTTTGCGTAAATGATGAAACAGGGCGGGGGGATGAATGAGGACTGTGATGGTGAAAATGTGCATACTGAGCATTTACAGCCATTGGTTTACGAGAGGGTCCACTATGTGCTGAATGCATGGAATTACTAATCGCTCTTCCAGAGACAACAGAGTGATTTGGTGAAGATGAATACGAAGGTTGATAAGGCGGGCTTGACTGGTGAGATATTAGATTCCTAGATTTACAAGTTTGTACAACAGGCGTGTGAGATACTGCATTTGGTACAGGACGATTACTATTTGTGCACGGAAGGAAGGGCGGAGGACCACTATGGTTTCGGGGACTATGATTCAAGTGTCCCTGCATTCCCGGATATGGGTAATGCAACTGCATAGGAGGTGGCGGTGGAGGTGGAGATGGTGTCGAAGACCTAGAAGGTGGAGATGAAGTAGTTGTTGGAGGTACAACACACAACTGGCTTCCTGACTTTTCACTGGTATGCCCAGGAAGAGACCTCGGAGATGAAGAAGACTGTTCAACAATCGCTAAGCTACTAGAAATAGGGCTGGAATCTGTCTGAGTTACATTAGGTGATGCAGGAGTAGGATTATCAGATGACCGTCTCTGTGGGGGATTCGGTTTGAATTTGAGTGATGGGCCAGATGTAACGGACTCGGGACTGCTTTGGTTTTCCGTGGAGACAAAAGGACCATTGACTAGCGACACACTGATACCAATTGAGTCTTCTCGTGGACGAGTACAGGTAGTATCCTTGGTGTTGAATTGACTAATAAGCTTTTGGTAATCTGCCTTCAGTCTGCAAAATAAAATTTAGTGGTATATGGGGGAAAGTACGAATATACAAAAAGTTGTAAATTACTTTTGGGAGTCATTAGAAAAAATTTTAGTAGATTCTTGTGATCACACAGAGATATTTATATTTCACATATTTCTGACATAGTCAAGAATGAAGCATCATTTGATTGATTGGATAGAGGCATTTCAGTCTCCCTAATTTATGTATTTAGCTATTTGATATTGTACTTACAGGGGAGAAGAAACACCACGGGAAATGGGTGAATAAAATCCCTGTTATTAAATGAGTTCGACTATGTAAAAGGATAAGTGTAATCACTACATCAGTGATGTGCGTCGGTGGTTCAGTGGTAGAACACTCGACGGGAATAATCTCGTCGACTTAGAATATTCATGGATAATCCCCATCCAGGCATTAATGAAAACAAAACACGTAGATCAGCGAAGAGTCTCTTTTCGGCGAATTCATCTTCTTAGCTGTACAATCGCAAATATATATGCATTGTTTTGTATGTATGTGTACATTAAGTTTGTCAAACAAACTTAATGTACACATACATACAAAACAATGCATATATATTTGCGATTGTACAGCTAAGAAGATGAATTCGCCGAAAAGAGACTCTTCGCTGATCTACGTGTTTTGTTTTCATTAATGACTTAGAATATGCAGACGATAAAGTCCTTCTAGGCGAGGACGCTGACAAAATGCAGAGTCTTCTGAACACCTTGAGCTGAAATCTTCGTATGTTTGGCATGCGATTCGCCCCTGTAAAATGTAAGATGATGCTGCAGGATTGGACTTCACCGACCCCTAGATTAGAAATAGGAAGTGAAGTGGTAGAGCACGTTGACCGCTTCACTTACTTGGGAAGTACCATCAGTCCCAATGGGTTGATCTCTGACGAAATCTCAGCACGAATACAGAGGGCTAGGTTCGCATATGCCAGTTTACGCCATCTCTGGCGTAGACGTGATATCCGACTATCCACCAAAGGGCGTGTGTACTGCTCAACAGTCCGCTCCGTCCTCCTTTATGGCTGTGAGACATGGCCATTGAGAGTGGAATACATGAAAAGATTAGCTGTGTTCGATCATAAGTGTCTGCGTTCTATCTCCCGTGTGAAGTGGTATAATAAGGTGAGTAATATTGAGGTTAGGCGTCGAGTGCTAGGTAAGGCGGGGAAATCAGTCGACGAAACTGTGAAATTACATCGACTGAGATGATTAGGACATGTGCTACGTATGCCTAGTCATCGCCTTCCTCGACGGGCAATGTTAGCTGATATAGGGCCAGACTGGAAAAAAGCTAGTGGCGGTCAAACGAAAACATGGCACCAGTCAATGAAATCCACAACAGTTAGCTTAAGCCACGTAGGAAGATGTAGACTTCCTGACTGGTTGGGGTCCTCGGGACGGTAAAAACCAATGGTTGGAAACAATTGGTGACATGGCTCAAAATCGTTCTCAGTGGTGCAGATGCATCCACTCCTTGTGACTTATGATTTCCAATTAAGCTGTTTTGTTCTTCGTTATTACTATTCCTTTGTCTCACACCTCTGTTTACTGTCTCTAATATGCATTTCTCCTACTTTCTTCTCTTGCTTTGTGTGCTACATGGAGTGTGGCGACTTGAACTGCCGCACATATGTGCAAAGTTCTATGTCGAAAACCGACCGACCGACCGACCGAGAACACTCGCCAACCAAGCACGTGGTCCGGGGTTCGATCCTAGGCCAACGCACTAGCAAAACTCGGTAAGCTGGTAATACTAATAATAAGAGGGTAGGTTGGACGTGAGGCTAATAACCCCGCCCCGTAAAAATAAAACCACTGCTACCGAAATTTCAAAGCTCTAGCTTGAAGCCCTATGTTTCACTGGGGACGTAAAGGAATAAAAATTTTTTAAACTTCAGTCATAACGATTTTGTATGGTTAGTAAAATGTCATTCGCACAAATACTGACTGACAAGCACTTATAAGCGACCTGACTAAACACAAAAGGACAGAGAAGCAATTTTTTGGAGAAATCTGCTGCTAAACAATATGACATTCTCTAAAGCTATACAATACTTTCTTTAACGAGGTGCATTGAGCATAACCCGCACTAGATATGATTAATAATAATAATAATTTGCTTTATTCCTAAACAGTACTTATGACACTGGAATTCTCAGCATCATCGACAGAAAGAACAGTTAGCTTAGACATTTAGGTACGAAGAGACCTAATGGTCGGTCGGTCGGTTGGTTTTCGACATAGAACTTTGCACATATGTGCGGCAGTTCAAGTCGCCACACTCCATGTAGCACACAAAGCAAGAGAAGAAAGTAGGAGAAATGCATATTAGAGACAGTAAACAGAGGTGTGAGACAAAGGAATAGTTATAACGAAGAACAAAACAGCTTAATTGGAAATCATAAGTCACAAGGAGTGGATGCATCTGTGCCACTGAGAAAGATTTTGAGCCATGTCACCAATTGTTTCCAACCATTGGTTTTTACCGTCCCGAGGACCCCAACCAGGAAGTCTACACCCAATGTCAGCTTATGAAAATCATTCAGACCAAGGAAATAAGTTTTTTTTAACCATAGTAACACTGTCCGCCCTTTTTAGAAACAGTGACTGGCAGTCAGTATGCAAATCAACCTCATAACTGTTCGCAAAACGCAATTGATATATATATCTATATTTCTCAGCTTTCATGAACAGCTGTTTTCAAGTGGGTTATTTTTGAGCATCACTCAACCATCCAAAAAGTACGACTGAAAAACATTAGGTTGATGACATTGAGACAATTCTAATCCATGAAATATGCGTTATATTCTACTAAGCAGAATGGAATGAGTTGCTTACAGAACCAACATTAATATTCCATTAATTGATGGCGCTTCCTATCCCAAAATCTTAAGGTAATTTTCCCCTGAATAATCAGGATTGTGCCACACAATGAAATCCCTTCACGTAACTAAATCCAATTATCTCACAGATTGGTTCACTTATGTACTCGGCATCATAGCCCAACAATGCCTGCTTCCTGTTTTTACAGCCAAGTGATACGGCTGTACGATAAGGACGGGTCTTAGGAAGAGAAAGGCGACTTAAAAGATGTGGTTTATAAGACATACTATAAAACCTAATGCAATCGCATAAAAGATATGACCTATATTAAGGATATGGACAACTAACCAACTAATATAGCGGCTAGCCCTGCATATCGCAGTGGTGTGGAGCTGAACTGACCAGAAAGATTGTTCCAAGAGATCGTGCCGTGCCACGAGAGTTGGTTGCATAGCTACAAGAAACATAACGGTCACTACTGAAGTGAGCTACATAACATTGGCATAATCTGAAGGCCACAATCAGAAAACCATTTACGCTGCCTTTTCACACTACTAGAAAAGGGTTAGATAAAGGTCATTCCCAAACAAATCAGCTGTAGTCCAGTCAGTGCTGGACGGGAGTCAATAGAAACTTCGCATACAAAAAGCTAAAAGCAAGTAGGCAACCACATAACAGATGACTTCAAAGCCCATAAAGGAAGGGTGAACAAGTCTGATTGCCTATGAAGTTGTATGTCGACAAACTGATAATGATGACTATCTCTTACACATGTTGCCTGTGCATGGCCTGAAATAAATTCAAACACAAAGATATTTAGTCTCATTCGGAGGCCAATGACTGACTGGTTTCAACTTAGGACTTTGCACCGATGTGCAGCAATTCAAGTCTCCACACTTCACTCAGCACACAAAGCCAGAGATGAAAATAAAAATAAACGCAAAATAGAGACAGTTAACAGAGATGAGGCAAAAAGAATAGTAATAATGAAGAACAATATAGTTTTATTGGAAATTTTAAGTGAAAAGGAGTGAATGCATCTGCGCCATTGAGAACGATTTTGAGCCATATCACCAGATGTCTCCAGCCATTGCTTTTTACCGTCCTTAAGACTGCAACCAAGAAGTCTACACCTTCCTACGTGGCTTAAACTAACTGTTGTGGATTTCACTGACTGATGTCTTGTTTTGGTTTGACCACCATTGGCTCTTTCCCAAGCTGATCCTGTCAGTCAGCTAACATTGCCCGTCAAGGACGGCGATTGCTAGGCATACGACTTACACTACGGTGGTAAGTTTACTTATAAGGAACCAATCGAAGAAACCAGCTCATACATGCCGTGTGTGACCGGACTCTGCAGTCACGCAACACTAACCCCCTTTCTCTTTCAGGTACCCAATTATTATTATTGCTATTATTGTTTCCTTTAATTCCTAGAGGAACATAGGGCTTCAGCCGTGCGTCTCCATTGCGTTCGGTTCTCTGCTAGAGTCTTCACCTGGCTCCAAGTCTGCCCACACGTTTTCATCTCCTCTTCACGTGACCTCCTCCAAGTCACCCTTGGACGACCAACTCGCCGCTTCCCTTTCGGGTTCCACTCGAGGGCTAGTCTAGTAATGTCACTTGATGGTTTCCTCAGAGTATGGCCAATCCATCTTCATTTCTTCCTGCCTATTTGTTTCACAATCGGTTCCTGGTTGGTTCGCTCCCAGAGATCTCTGTTGCTGATCTTTTCTGGCCATCTGATCTTGAGTACTGAAGACAACTGTTAATGAAGGTCTGTAGTTTGTTTGAGATGCTCTTTATGACGCGCAGTGCAAGTCTCTGATCCGTATAGTAAGTGGCACCGACTTCACATTGGAGTTGAAAATCCGGATCTTATTTTTGATGCTGAGTGCTGTTGACCTCCACACAGACTTGAGAGTAGTGAAAGCTTGTCTTGCTTTTCCGACTCTTGCTTTGATATCCTCGTCAGTTCCGCCTGTAGTTGAAACGATGCTTCCCAGGTAGGTAAAAGAGGTCGTTTCTTTTAGGTTCCTTCCATTTATGCTGATTGTTGTCTGTTGTTGTTGCTGTTGGTGGTGTTGCCCAGTAATCTTCATCACCTCTGTTTTCTCTATGTTCACCTGAAGTCCTATCTTTGAGGCTTCTTCTGCCAACTTGTTGCTTTCCGCTTGCGTATCTCCCAGTTTGTGGGAAATCAGACATATATCATTGGCGAAGTCAAGATCCTCCAAGTTTCTTGTGTTAGTCCATTTTATGCCTGTTTCCTCATTGCCAGCTGTTTGTTGCGTTATCCAATCTACTGCAACCAGGAAAATCACTGGCGATAGTAGGCAGCCTTGTCTTACTCCTGTCTTCACCTCGAAGCATTCCGTAAGTTTCCCGTTGTGGATTACTTGGCATGCAGCATTGTCGTACAGCTGTTGGATGAGATTTATAATTGCCGGTGGTACCTCATAGTAGCGAAGTATTTGCCAAAGCAACTCTCGATCGGCGCTGTTGAATGCCTTTTCGAAGTCGATGAATTTGAGATAGAGAGGTGACTGCCATTCCAAGCTTTGTCCAATGATGATCCGTAATGTGGCGATTTGATCAATACATGACTTGTTTCTCCTGAATCCAGCCTGTTCCGGTCGAAGATTTTCATCCAGGGCATGTTTGATTCTCTCCAGGATGATGCGGCTTAGTATTTTGCTTGGGATGGACAGGAGCATAATTCCGCGCCAGTTCTTGCATTGACTTAAGTCTCCTTTCTCTGGTAGTTTGAATAAGTATCCTTTCTTCCAATCCTCGGGTACTTTGCCTTCTTTCCACACCTTCTCCAGTAGTGGCGTCATCAAGTTCGCTGTTGTCTCTGGGTCCATTTTCAATGCTTCTGCTGGGATTCCATCTGGTCCTGCTGCTTTTCCAGCTTTTAGCATCTTGATTGCCTTCAGGACTTCTGATTTCGTCGGGGGGCTAATGTTCACTGGTAGTTCTGCTTCCGTGGTTGGTATTGTTGGGCGCGTTGTAGGTGGTGGTTGATTTAGAAGTCTTTTGAAGTATTCAGCCCAGTGTTTCCTTTGTTCCACTTCTTTGGTCAGTGACTCTCTATTGTCATCCTTCACTGGCTTAATTTGTGTCAAACGTTTGCTCGATAGGTACCTAGTTGTTTGGTAGAGTGTTGCGAGGTCTCCTTTGCCTGCAGCTTGTTCTGCTTCACTTGCCATGGCTTCATAATACTTTCTTTTGTCTTCTCTGGCACTCTTCTTTACTCTTTTGTTCAGTGTCTTGTAGTTTGCTCGTCGGTGCACTGGATAATCTTTTGTTTCATCATCCCTCTCTCTTCTATTAGTCTCTAAGTGTCCGTAGTGAGCCACTGTTTGTCCTGTCTCTTCTTTCTGCCTAGAACTTCCTTGCAGGTTTGACTCCACACTGTCTTCAAGTTGTTCCAGTGCTTTCCAACGCTGACCTCTTCGCCAGTGTTGATTTGTGTCTCGGCTTTTTCCTTATGCTTGCAGTGAAGATGTCCTTTGTGTCCTTGTCCTTCAGTCTTTGAGTATTGAACTTGGCTTGTGGTCTATCTGCAGCTCCTGTTTCTCTGAAAGCTTTCAGTTTGATTTGGATTGTCCCTTGTACGAGATAGTGGCCTGAGCCAACTTCTGCTCCTCTTCTTACTTTTGTGTCCAGTAGGCTGCGCCTCCACTTCCTCGAGATTGAGATGAAGTCAATTTGGTTTTCGGTTCGCCCATCTAGTGACACCCATGTAGCCTTGTGGATATCTTTGTGTTTGTATACGCTGCCACCAATCACTAGTTCATTGAAGGCGCAGAAGTCAGCGAAGAGTTCTCCATTTTCATTCATTTCTCCGAGAGCTTCTCTACCCATGATGAGTTTCCTTACTGTGTTGTCTGGACCCAGTTTGGCGTTCATGTCTCCCATTAGTATTTTAATGTCACCAGTTGGAGTATTGTGCATTGTTGCCTGTAGAATTCTTCTTACTTTTCGAGGTCTGCGTTGTTTGTGGGTGCATAGCATTGTATAACTGACACTTTCCTTCCTTTGCAGTTGAATCTGGAGGTCAATATCCTGGGGGAGATCGCCTCCCATTGCATCAGGGCCTTCGTTGCCGTTGGTTACATCATGATAGGCACGCCCTCGGTGTGCGTGTGGTTGTCTTCTGGGTGACCGGAGTAGATCACTGACTCACCCGTTGACAATTTGGTGAGTCCATTCCCGTTCCATCTGCTTTCACATATCCCCAATACTTGAATTCCGTATCTTTTCATTTCGTTCGCGATCTGGGCAGCTCTGTCAATCTCGTACATGGTGCGGACATTCCATGTCCCCATACAGACTTTTTCTTTTGGCGCAAGGAGATTCTTCGTGCTGAAGTTTCTGTAGCAACTTTGTTTACAGGGTGGGGTTGCTAGCCTCACGTCTGAGAAGGGGATTGTTACATTAAAATATAGTTTAGAGAGAAGCGACCTTGTGGGTTGCTCCCCTTAAAACCAGGAAAACAAGGAATAAAACAATCAGAACAACACCAGCACAGGAAAATAATTCACAACAAGAAGGGTAACAAGCGACAACAATAATAATATCACAGTCAAGTAAAGTTAACCAAAATGATACCAAAATCATAGACTCACTGACTTGAGCCAACTTGAATATGCAAATCCACCAATATATACAATTATAGATGTTAGTAAGTGTTAAACAAGCACAGTAGTTATAGGCATTATCCAACAGCAAGATTATATCCAAAGATTCAGTGTTTGAAAGGCAAATAATTGCAATAGTTTTTTGCAACTTTTTGGCAAGATATTTCACAAAAATAAGAGTTTTATGTAACTATGTTAATGTAACGTAGTTATCGAAAAGCCATGTACCCGGAGAATCAATCAACTTTCACGGTGTGGGCAGCCGGGAAGTAACAACCGTCCACACACTTCCAAAAGCACACGAAGTCTTCCTAAGCATCATTCTCCTTCATCCACATCACCTTCATCATTCGGAGGCCACTATCATTGGCTTAATGGACAAAAATATGCCTCGTCATAGAACATAGGTAGTCGATGAAATCCCGCCCACTTTAGAATAACTGTATGAACTATAACCAGGTATTAATCTGAGTTCCAACACAGGACTTTGTATAGAAGTACAGTACTTCACGTTTCTACACTTCATGTGGCACATAAAGGTAGACAAATACAAAAACTTTAAAAGAACCGTAATGGGAGGAATAGTAACACGAAAAATCTTGAAGACTCAACGGATCTTGGAGACTTCAAATAGTGAATATATCTGTGTTATTGAGAACAATTTTGAGGGCACCGACAGTCTCAGGCCATTGGTTTTTAGTACCCCAAGGACCCCAAACAGATGGTCTCCATCTCTCTATGTGGCTTAATCCAACAGTCAGAATTCAAGAAATGACACCAGGTTTCTTCTGGTCACCACTACTTCACATCCTACCTAATTCTATCTATGAGGTGACGTGGAATGAGTGGCACATGTCATAGTCACCTCAATCGATGTAACTTCACAACCCCACAGACTGTTCTGCTCTCATGTGATGGAATGTAGCTGTACGTAATGTAAGTTAAGGGATGTAAATCAACTAATTCACACAGATAAGAAACTAGGTAAACTAAAAAATTCCACTTACACATAGAAATTCGAAGTCCTAATCTTTTGAGTGAAGTGTGCTGCACATTGGTGCAAAGTTTTATGTTGAAACCAGTCTGTCCTAATCTTTGGAAAGACTCAAGTAATGTTTTGCATTATATGTAAATACACAAATATCGTGACTACCAGTAAGACAGTGATTCAGGATAATTTTACTAATTCAAAAACACAGTGCCCACAAAATCCAATAAATACAATCATATATACACCACCGGCAAAAGGTTCAAAGAGTACACTAAACAAATTACCTTTCAAAATTAGATTCTATCTTTTTCCGGTTTTCCGTCTCCTCCACAAGCTTCCTCCGAAGTAACTCGCACTGACGATCGCAACACAGCTTATTTTCTGCACTGACAGCTGTTTCATCTGCTTTGTTATCATAACTATCTAGTTTTATAATCAGGTCATTATTCTGCAAAGCTCGCTCAAGCTCAGCCACCCGCTTTTGCTCGTTGGCTAGTTGATTGCAAAGGCGTTTACGTTCTTTGATAAGGGAAGCCGCAGCGAACTTCTGGCGGTTGCAGAGAATGTGTTGTTCTCTCCAGCCTAAAACAGCACGCTTTACATCACGAGCAAGTTTTTTGTTCTGCAACTTTTCATATTCAACCTACACAGTCAGAGTGACGAAAATAACTTACTTCAGATTTAAGTCGTTCGCGTTCTTTCTCGAGCATGACCAAAACATCATCTCCTTGAGCAGCATCTCTTTCGTGTTTGCGCCGTTCATCCTCCAGCTCTTCACATGCCTATAAAATGAGGCTTATCTGAAAATCCTATAGTACCTTTATGTACCTTTTCTCCATAAGAACCAGCTGGTCTCTCATCTTGTTTTGAGCATACCTCTGTGACGAAATGAGATTTTCCAGTTGTATCAACTGGCTGTCGTACAGAGGCTTTAAAGCAGATTCACTGTCACCTAAAGCAGGTACAAAAAACTGATAATAAGTAGCTACTTATATATCACTTACTGAGTCCCTCTGTAAGGCTTGAAAAGGGTCTTCACATTCCTTATTACTTTGTTTATCACTAATTATTATGCCATATTTCGCCCTTAGATTTGTTGCGTTAATGCGGTCAGCCTGAAAAAATATAAACGATAAAATATCCACCTTTAAAGCAGCCAGTGCCATGTCTCTAGCCTCAAGCTCTCCATGTAAGTAAGCGAACAACTGGAACAGATCAGCCCTATCAGAGTCCTCCACAGCGTTCTTACGTATTAACATTTCAGCACAAGACACCTCGTCCATGTCATCTTCGTTAGCCATTACTTTACTACAGTCGAATTCACGAGTGAAATTTCGTTGTATTTATTGTTCACGGACAATGCACATGACTCATATCCTAAGAATGATTAACATAGGCCTCACACCTTCCACCTTCAATCAATAAGTCTAGTTCCGAAAATCCGAACGTAACAAAAACACCTAAATCGACCCGACCAATCAAGGCGCGCACAACCATATACAAAGGCCTTGAAAGGGTGAAACAATGTACAAAACAGTAATCTAATGAAATAAATATTCAAATATGTATTTCATAGCAGTAACTGACTAATCTTCCCTATTTTTCTTCCAGAGCTGTTATAAGCTAGGATATCAGCTAGGATGTCAGCCGGCGGCCTGTTTGACACGTGGGCTACCCTTCTGTACTGTAATGAAATAAAAACCACCATAATGCCACTAAATAAGTTTCTTTTTCTTCTTTTTTCAGAAAGAAACGCTGACGTGGCCTCACTGGAACAGGAGGAAGATCGTTTGTCCAGGCTTGTTATAAATGATGATAATTAGCCTCGTACCCGGTTAATTCAAGCCTGGCGTGGTTAAAATAAACATCTCCCTCTCGTCTCTTCGTCTTCTTCCTTTCGTTGGTTGTGGCTGTTGCCTTGTGTGTAACAAATTGGTGTCGGAGGTATTTTATCTACACTTAACATGGCAAATCGATCAGAGGACCAGCCTCCTAAATTGTTTCCTCAGGATAGTGCTTCATCATTGCCTAGTGTACCACCGCTTCCCCACCCACCACTGCTGCGACCATCATCAGATCATCCCCACTGGAAGATACGAATGCAGGCGTTCCTGGACGTTACTCCAGCAGCCCACCATTTCATCCACGTCCTCAACAACCTATCAGAGGATGCATTCGCCCGTGCACACGCTGCTGGGTTCTGTAGTACCAACTCCATGTAAACGAACTGGGAGATTCTAGATCAATGTTTTGACCTGAGGCTGGGCTCTCAACATACCCTATTACAACTGCTCTCCCATCAGGAGAGAGTTTCCTGGAATATCTTAACGCTCTCCAGCTACTGGCAGCTGGACTTGACAATCACGATAGCCCTGGCAGCAGAGACCAATTGGTATGCACCCGCTTCGTCGAGGGAATGATGCCTGGTGACCTGCGCACAAACCTCCGACGTCAGCTCCCAGCCAACACATCCAAGTTACACAGGATTATTCTTCGTTTCATGGACGCTGAGAACGACCACGTGTCGACACCCAGCACCTCTATGTGCCCAGTATCAACAAAACCCAATGCAGCCGCCGTGACCCCCATTCGCCGCGACTGTTCAAGAAGCCAACGACGCTCAAATGGGGACGCTACCCGTCGCTGCTACTAGTGTCGGGAAGAAGGCCCGTAAGTGTGGCCACAATCGCCAGCCGGACCGCAGTAAGTCCCCTGTGTTTTATTTGTCTACATACTCTTGTACTTGGCAACCTTTAATGTTATGGGGACATATTAATGGAGTGCCCTCTAAAGTCCTCCTAGATACTGGCGCGTCAGTCTCTCTAGTAAAGGCTTCCTTCCTTCGACGCTTGCCCAGAGCTCACCTCCAGTAACCACTCACAACATCTTGACGACGGCTAACGGTGCTAAACTGGAGGCCCGATCTGCTGCCGATCTACAGCTGCGCCTTGGAGACCTAAATGTGCGCCATCGGTTTCTTATCTGCGCCCAGTTTACATGGGACCTCACCCTAGGGGTAGACTTCTTGATGTTATACCACACTCTTATAGATATCACCAATTCTCGAGTCACAATTGATTCCGTCACTATACCCGTATATAGCCCTCAGCAACCGCGGTCTGCTGCATCAAAGTTATCAGTGTCTACCATCATAAATCAAGTTTCGGTTGATCCATCTGCTCCTGCTCCCCTCCGAGGGCATATGCTAAAACTGATCGGTGAATACGCTGATGTGTTCAATGATGGGGGTAATCATGGACGCACTGGTGTTGTTCAGCACCGTATCAATGCAGGCAGTCATCCGCCTGTGCGTCAACCAACCCGACGGATCCCCGTGCATTACCAGCCCCAACTGGACGCCCTGATACGAGATATGTTGGATAAAAAGATCATCGCACCATCCTCCCCCCCATGGGCGTCACCCATCGTTTTAGTCAAGAAGGAGGAAGGCTCCCTCCGAATGTGTATTGACTACCGTAAACTGAATGCTATAACCAGACGGGACGCTTTCCCGATTCCCCGTATCGACGCAACCCTTGACGCACCTACCGGCTCATAGTGGTTCTCCAAGTTAGATCTGGCGTCAGACTACTGACAGGTAGAGGTGCACCCTGACGATTGCCCGAAGACGGCCTTTATCCTTCCGAGTGGTCTCTACGAATTCCGAACAATGCCCTTCGGACTATGCAATGCCCCCGCCACATTTCAACGCTTGATGCGAATAGTCCTTGACAGGTTAGTCCCGCACAATGTCTCATCTATCTTGACGACATTATTGTACATGGGAAGTCCCCAGGGGAGCACATGGATAACCTACGGGTTGTTCTTACAAGGTTTAGAACGAATGGTTTAAAGTTGAAGCCGGCCAAATGTTCATTCTTACAGAGGGCAGTCACATTTTTGGGGCACCGAATTTCACCAGATGGTATTCAAACAAACCCAGAGAAAACGCGCCTCATCTCAGGATGGCCTACACCCCAGTCCTGTAAAGACGTTCGTAGCTTCCTAGGGTTGGCTTCGTACTACCGACGTTTCGTGCCTGGGTTTGCCACCCTAGCCTCGCCCCTGCATCGCCTGACAGAAAAGGGCCGTGAATTCCTGTGGACCAATGAATGCCAGCATGCGTTCGACGAGCTAAAGACGAACTTGACGTCAACCCCCATCCTTGCGTTTCCAGACACGTCTCCGTCATCTGGTTCGTTTATTCTGGACACGGACGCAAGCACTAACGCTATAGGGGCTGTCCCTTCCCAAGTGGCAGCCGATGGTCGAGAACGCGTTATTGCATATGCCAGTCGCAAGCTAGATAAACGGGAAACACGGTACTCGACAACCCGAAGGGAGATGCTTGCCCTTGTGTATTTCCTGAGACACTTTAGACACTATCTACTTGGGCGCCCCTTTCGAGTACTCACTGACCATCGTACACTACAATGGCTGCAAACATTTCATGAATCTGAAGGTCAGGTGGCTCGATGGCAAGAGCGGTTACAGTAGTTCGAGTTTACCTGTGAGTATCGTCCGGGGCCTCGACATGCTAACGCTGATTCCCTCTCCCGATTGCCGACGTACGCCTCAGTGAATGCTTTACTTAATACGCGTATCGATGTGGATTGGGCCGCACTGCAGGCGGCTGATACAGATATTCAACCTGTTTACTCGCGACAGCTCCGTGGGAACGATAAACCATCGAATAAGGAACTACGGAGTCTGTCAGATACAACACAATGCATCTGTAGCAAGTGGGGCGTCTTACGACTACTCGACGATGTTTTGTATATAGTGGAACCATCCTCGTCACCCCGTCTTCTTGTTTCCCGGTTGAAAGTTCCGGAGGTGGTTCACCTTGTGCACCACCAGCTTGGTCACGCTGGCCAACAAAAAACCGAACACGCCGTCCGTCAACGTTTTTGGTGGCCACTTCTTCATCATGACGTTACTGAATTCTGCCGCAACTGTGCTACATGTGCACAAATCAAACAGCCCAAACTACCTTCCCGAGCACCGTAAGTACCTATGCTTACGGAAGCTTCCAACCACCGAGTTGGGATAGATGTTATGGGGCCAATAACAACGTCGAGACTTGGTAGTCGATACATACTCGTCATTGTCGACTACTTAACGAAGTGGTGCGAAGCTGTCCCCCTGCAATAACAAGATGCCTTGATGATTGGTCGCGCGTTCATAGACAACTGGGTGTCCCGCTTTGGTGCCCCTCTTTATCTACACTCTGACCAGGGCGCCGCATTCGAGAGTCATCTTATCGCTCACATCTGCAATACTTTTGGCATCCGGAAGACCCGTACTATATCATACCACCCACAGCGTAATGGACTCATCGAACGCACCAACCGGACTATTAAGAATCTTCTCCTTGCCTTTTTGCACAGTACACCGGAGAACACCTGGGACGATGTCCTACCTCGGTGTTTACTAGCGTATCGCTCCTCCATCCATTCATCCACGGGATTTTCACCAGCTTTGCTTCTGTTTGGGCATGAACTCCGCCTCCCAGTTGAGATCCAAACGGCGCTGCTACCGTATATGAAAATAGACTGCATCCCCTATGTCCGACATCTTCGCCACCACCTGGGGATAGCCTACAACCTGGCACGTCGTCATCTCCAGTCTTCGTCAGAACACTAGAAGAGTATTTATGACCGCTTCGCCCGCGGCCCCACTTATTCGCCTGGCGACTATGTCTGGCTTCATCGCCCATCGGTACCTGCCGGTTCGTGTCCTAAATTCTACGCCCCGTGGCAAGGACCTTATGAGATCGAACAGCACCGACCTCCCACAACGTATGTCCTGCGAAATTTGCAGCGTCCTCTAGATAACCTTATATCCGCACACTATAACCAGCTGAAACCACATCACCCAGCAGCCGGTCCAGAAACCGTCGCCATCCCCGCAACTGCGGCCCGCTAGTAGTTTCGTCGAGGTACCAACAGATGGAGGCAGTGCATATCCTGTACCACCGCCAGGCACTGAGGACAGTGCCTTCAGAAGGGAGGAGGAGATGTAATGAAATAAAAACCACCATAATGCCACTAAATAAGTTTCTTTTTCTTCTTTTTTCAGAAAGAAACGCTGACGTGGCCTCACTGGAACAGGAGGAAGATCGTTTGTCCAGGCTTGTTATAAATGATGATAATTAGCCTCGTACCCGGTTAATTCAAGCCTGGCGTGGTTAAAATAAACATCTCCCTCTCGTCTCTTCGTCTTCTTCCTTTCGTTGGTTGTGGCTGTTGCCTTGTGTGTAACAGTACATCTACATATTTGCATCTAATACATCATGTTTTGATTTTTAATTTTAACAAAATATGATCACAAATCGTATCAAATACAGTAATGAATTCATTAAATGTTTTAAACCATATGACTCATGCATCTAATAAAACAAAGAGAAAATATCATGGTGGTTGACAACGTGCTCCCAAACGGACACCTTTATTTAGCACAACTATTCCAGTTATTGTCAGTTCAAACTGCCGTTCACTTACCAACA